GGCAGACATCGGCGAGGACAGGCTGGTGCTGTGCCCCACCGGACATTTTGCAGCCAACGTGGAAACGCTAAACGGGGAGCAAACGTCTTGCCCCACATGTGGGGAAAAACTGACCAAGACCAGAGGGATCGAAGTGGGGCACACATTTTATCTGGGCACCAAGTACTCCTCCGTCTTCAACGCTGTCTTCTACTCCGCCGACAACAAGCCCCAGCTGGCAGAAATGGGCTGCTACGGCCTGGGCGTCACTCGCATCCTGGCAGCCTCCATCGAGGTGCTCTCTACGGAGGACAGCATCCGCTGGCCGAGCCTCATCGCGCCCTACCAGCTCTGCTTGCTCCCCCCCCAGAGGGGCAAGGAGGAGGAGGAGGGAGCGGCGCTGCTGGAGCGGGTGTACGACGAGCTGGCCGAAGCGCTGCCCCACCTCGACGGCGACTCGGTGCTGGATGACAGGACGCAGCTGACCATCGGCAAAAGGCTGAAGGACGCCAACAAGCTGGGTTACCCCTACGTGGTCGTCGCCGGGAAGAGGGTTTGCGAGGACCCGCCGGTCTTCGAGGTCTGGGATCAGAACGCTGGCCAGGTTTTGTTCCTCACCAAGGAAGGTGTCATTGAGTTGCTGAGTAAAGTGCGAGTCCCTTAAAATCCCCATCTCTGATCTCTCATCTTTGCTGCGCTGAGTTTATTGGAACGACCCCAGTTCCTTTATCAAGGGTGTGGAAGCTGTCGGCGATGGGTCTGGGCGAGCAGAGCCCAATCTGGCTCACGTCAGAGCCGGCCATGGTGTCTCGCAACTGCACCGGGGGCGAGCTGTGGTCAGCCCACATTCCCCCGTGGGTCCAGGGATGTTTTTCCCACTGGCTGCAGGCCCCGTGAACTGCCTTTGCTTGTGTGTGCGGCCTCCTGCAGCCGTGGGAGCTCTGGCAGGGCCGGGCCCTCACAGACCGGGCTGGCGACGGCCTCCGTCGAGCGCCCGCAGCAGCAGAGGCTGCAGGAGCGGGGATGGGAGGGCTCCCTCGCCCTTTTAAGGCGCTGAGTTCTCAGCATGGGGGATTTTCAGAGGAAGGAAGGTGCCATTCCTCCATTTGCATCTTCTCTTTGGAGACACCCAGGTTCCGTGAAGCTTAATCTTGCTTAAAGCAAAGTGGTGAACTGGAGAGCCATGTTCACCGTAGCGCTGCAGATCTGCGGGAACTGAGGCGAAGAGCGGCGTCGGCCACCCGCGTCCCAGTCCTGCAGGTCAGTCCAGCTGGCGAGACTTGGGAGGTGACCGCGTGGTTCCGGGTGGTAGAAGATGGAGAGGGACTTTACACAAGGGTGTGCAGTGATCGGACAAGGGGGAATGGCTGTAAACTAAAAGAGGGCAGATTTAGATTAGATATTGGGAAGAAATTCTTCACCATGAGGGTGGTGAAACACTGGCCCAGGTTGCCCAGAGAAGCTGTGGCTGCCCCCTCCCTGGCAGTGTTCAAGGCCAGGTTGGATGGAGCTCTGAGCACCCTGGTCTGGTGGAGGATGTCCCTGCCCATGGCAGGGGGGTTGGAACCAGATGATCTTCAAGGTCCCTTCCAACCCAGACCATTCTATGATTCTGTGATGCTAAGATCTTTGTGAAAAAAATAATCAAGAAACGTGGCAATCTGGGGACCCGCAAAGCCCGGGCGTGAAAACGTCCAGGCCGTGTTGTTGCTGATCGGGTGCGAGTGGCCCCGTCGCACAGGGTGCTGGCACCCGCCCGCACGCGGCCGCTGCGGTGTGGGG